TTTTTTTTTTTTAGAATCATTCATCTTAGCAGTGGGATTTACACGAAAAGAGAAACAAATTAAGTTTGAGTGAAAATGTAAATTTTTTTGCACTCTCTGGTCAGCTAACTCAGTGAATCAAATGACTCAAAAAACCCGATTCACTTTGCTGAGTGACTCATTAAAACTTGATTCAATAAAAAGAATCAAATTTACCATCACTAGCGCACATTCCGGTGCTTCATTTCAGTGCTTTTTTTCCCTGAGATGTCATACACTTTGGATTCTAGCAATCATTTTACCTTTGCAAGCATAGTAGGCGGGCCCAGGTACGTACGTTCTTTTAGAGCAGAGCTAAAGATTAAAAACGCCCAAGGCGAAGCGGTCAAAAGTCTGGCTGTACTTCACAGCAAAAGATTCACCCTGGCCAAAAAAGCTAAAATGACCAAAGAAAAGTGGGAAACAGCTAAACATGAGAGGTTTTTAGACAAAGTTGCTTTTTTTATTTTTCCCCATTGATTAAGCACTGCTTCCAGCCAAGAGTGATACCATATATGCCCTATAGCTGCTGAAAAGACTAACATTGTTGTCTTTCTACAAAAAAACAGCACTTTGGGGTCCTTAGGGACTAGTAAAGCGCTATACAAATACAGGCCATTTAAAGGGGAGATGCAGGGAGACTCAAGAAAACCACACAGAAAAACTATGTCTACTATGAGCGACCATCTTTGAACAGAGGCGGTGGCTCACGACACCAACTGTCTACCATCTATAATCCAGTTTTGAGATCCCTTCCCAAACACCTTAACGCCCACTCAGGAAATCACATGATAGGGTGGGGTTAGGTTTCACAATGAGCTCACCCAAAACCTTGACTGATTGTGACCTACACCCGTTTTCACACCTTGGCTCATGTGATTAGGTAGAGGATCAATAGGGGGTCCATGTCCCTCTTGGGGGACACACCCACGGGGCTTAAATCTGGGACTCTCCACCATTTAACCCTAGAAATGAAGAAGCTTCTCGGATGAGAAGTGAAATGTTTTCAAGCAACTCAAAGAAATCAAAGACGCTTTTCCCCCCCAAGCTCCTTAGACTACAATGACCCAGATGATTGAGAACCTTCACAGACATATCCTAATAATTAATAACACAAATGTGCATACGTTTGATCCTTGAAGACACTTAGAAATAGATGCTGGTGCTATCCATCAAATAACTGAAATTGAATCAAACTGAATTGATTTCATGATTTTTTTTCAGTGTTTTTGTGACAAAAGTCAGAAAGTTTGTATATTGTATGATTGGAATACTTAAAATCAGAACACTTTATTAATCCCTAAGGGAATTACAATATTGCACACATTTGCTCCAAGACAATGCAGATATTTTGTTATTAGCAGGGATAATGTTAAAGACTAAATGTGTTTTGAACAAGAGATGTGATCTGAGGTTGCTTTATTCTTTTTTCTCAGCCCTTACAGGGGGAAAAACAAAACTTCACTGTCTACAATAAAACACTAGAACGTGTGTTTCAGACAATAACACCCTTTGCAGATGTTGAAGAACCTCGCCCTGATCGCTGCAGGAGATGTGCAGTGGTGGGGAATTCTGGAAATTTGAGAGGATCTCAGTATGGACCCCTGATTGATTTCCATGATATTGTGATAAGGTAATAATAATTTAACAGCATTTGTCCCGATTTGTGATTGAGGTGTGAGACAAACAACTACTGGTCCAAGTGCGTCAAAACAATGATTTCATTAAACACATGTGTGGAAAGATACACAGCTCGATATTGTCAACCCAGATCTCCCGTCAAAACATACTTTCAGCATGGTTTTATTATGTCAGGGTTAACGCCCCTTCTC